TGAACCATTTACTATGCACGGGCGCTGAAGAGACGTTAGGGATACGACTTCCAAGGGTGGGGAACAGAAACCAATTACCCTGAAAACAAACAGAATATTGGCTGGAGGAAAGTAAATAAGGTGCTATGACAGATAATAAATAGGGGGGCACCTACTTGAAGCAGAGTGATCGGGTCAGGCTTCTCAGAGAAGACAGCCTTTAAGCTGAGGGCTAAAGAGGGGGAGGAGACAGAGCAACAGAGCATAATGGGCAAAGGAGAATGTGGCAGGAGCCAGGTGAGAGATGGCAACAGGAATCAGACCGCAGAGTGTTCTGGAGGCCAAGTAAAGAGTTTGGATTGTATTTGAAAGACAATGAGTGTTCTGCAATAATTCTTAGTGGCTACTGCCGAAAATACTGCTGGAAAGCGGATGGGATCCGACAGGGGAGGGATCAGGCTGACATATTGGAGTCCATTGGTCAAGCTTGGCATTAAAAAAGAGGCCACAAGTGTGCACTGGTGGTTTAGTGGTGAGCAGAGCTGCCTTCCAAAACAAGACCTCTGATGGAGCCCTCAGATCTAATTATCAATTACAGGAAATACAGGGGACAGAGTAAAACATGTAAAGTGACATCACAAGGGAACACTCAGCGAAATCCAGTCTGCGAGAAATTCTACAAATGGCTCACTCATTTATATGACAAATAAATTGTAGGGGGAAAGAGGCAGAAGGAGAACCTAGAAAATAAAAGAGATTAAGAGCCACATCAACCAAATGCAACGTGGAGGTGATGGTAGATTTTACAGTAATGGGCCTTAACGAATCACATTTGCAACGTCACATCGCCATTCCTCCTACTGAGCGGTAGAAACCATTTCTCCTGCAGCTTGAATCTGGGCTGATGTTGTGACTTGCCTGGGCCACCTGATGGTGGTAGAAATGACGAAGTGAAAATTCTGGAGCCTAGGTCTTAAGAAGCCCGGAGCCTCTTCTCTTGCTGTCTTGGAAGCCTGTAGCCACCAAGTTGTAAAGAAGCCCTGTGGGGGCTCCCGGAGGAGGAGAGATCATGTGGGGAGAATGCAGGCACCCCGGCCAATGGCCGGCACTAACCACCAACCATGTGAGGGGGGTCATCTTTGGCTTCCCGGCCCCAGTCAAGCCATCAGGTGACCACAGCTGTATGGGCAATCCCAAGAGAGACCTGCAGAAGGGCCGCCCAGGCTGCCGAGCTACAGGGCCACACCACTAAATTTTGGGGTGCTTTGCCACATAATAACAGGTAATAGAAACAGATATCTTTTTGTTGTTGTTTAACTCTTGCAGTTTTTTTCTATTTTAAATTTACATCTTTTAAATCTACATCTTTTAAATTTACATCTAAGTTAATTAGCATATGGTGCAACAATGATTTCAGGAGTAGATCCCTTAATGCCTTTACCCATTTAGCCCTTCCCCCCTCCCACAACCCCTCCAGCAACCCTCTGTTTGTCCTCCATATTTAAGAGTTTCTTATGTTTTATTCCCCCCTCCCTGTTTTTGCTTCCTTTCCCCATGTTCATCTGTTTTGTATCTTAAAGTTCTCATATGAGTGAAGTCATATGATATTTGTCTTTCTCTGACTGATTAATTTATTTAGCATAATATCCTCTAGTTTCATCCATGTAGTTGCAAATGGCAAGATTTCATTCTTCTTGATTGCCGAGTAATACTCCATTGTGTATATATATACCACATCTTTAACCATTCTTCTATCGATGGACACTTGGGCTCTTTCCATACTTTGGCTATTGTCAATAGTGCTGCTATAAACATTGGGGTGCATGTGCCCTTTCGAAACAGCACACCTGTATCCCTTGGATAAATACCTACTAGAGCAATTGCTGGGTCATAGGGTAGTTCTTTTATTGTTTTTAATTTTTAATGTTTTTTAAAATTTATTTCTGAAAGAGAGACAGCATGAGCAGGGGAGGGTCAGAGAGAGAAGGAGATAAAGAATCTGAAACAGGCTCCAGGCTCTGAGCTGTCAGCACAGAGCCCGACATGGGGCTCGAACCCATGAACCGTGAGATCACGACCTGAGCCGAAGTCGGATGCTTAACCAACTGAGCCACCCAGGCGCTCCGGGGTAGTTCTTTTTTAACTTTTTGAGGAACCTCCATACTGTTTTCCAGAGTGGCTGCACCAGTTTGCATTCCTACCAGCAGTGCAAGAGAGATCCTCCTTCTTCGCATCCTCGCCAACATCTCCTGTTGCCTGAGTTGTTAATGTTAGCCATTCTGACAGGTGTGAGTTGGTATCTCATTATGGTTTTGATTTGTATTTTCCTGATGACGAGTGATGTTGAGCATTTTTTCATGTGTCGGTTGGCCATTTGGATGTCTTCTTTGGAGAAGTGTCTGTTCATGTCTTTTGCCCATGAAATCTTGTTTGGCTCCTCACTCGAGCAAACCAATTATTTAGAAATTACATAACAGGGGTGCCTAGTGGGCTCAGTCAGAAGAGTGTGCAACTCTTCATCTCAGGGTCGTGAGTTCAAGCCCCATGTTGGGTGTACAGATTCCAATAAACAAACAAAGTTTAAAAAATTATGTAAAAATCAGAGGGGCGCCTGGGTGGCTTAGTCGGTTAAGCGTCTGACTTTCGCTTAGGTCATGATCTCACGGTTCGTGGGTTCGAGCCCCGCGTCGGGCTCTGTGCTGACTGCCAGCTCAGAGCCTGGAGCCTGTTTCGGAGTCTGTGNGACTTTCGCTTAGGTCATGATCTCGCGGTTCGTGGGTTCGAGCCCCGCGTCGGGCTCTGTGCTGACTGCCAGCTCAGAGCCTGGAGCCTGTTTCGGAGTCTGTGACTCCCTCTCTCTCTGACCCTCCCCTGCTCACGCTGTCCCTCTCTCTCTCCTAGAAATAAATAAAACATTAAAAAATTTTTTAAAAAATTATGTAAAAATCAGAGAATTTGAGTACTGGATGCTGGGTAGTTGATAATATTAGGACATAACTATCAATTTTGTTAGGTATCATAATGATACTGTCATTATGTGGGTTTCTTTTTTAATCCTATCTTTTAGCAATACAAACTGGAAATGTTTATGGATGAAAGGAAGTGACATGATATTCCAAAGAGAGGTGGGTGAAACAAGATTAGCCTTGAGTTGCCCATCGTCGAAGCTACGTACGCTTGTGCACGCTCACTATAGTGTTCTCTCTTGTGCATGTCTGACATCTTCCATGTTAAAATAAAGCTGTTTGAGTGTAACTGGATGCCCTGGAATGCCTCAGCAGGGGGTATCACCTCTTCCTCTCACTGTGCACTTGAAGTTTGCAGCGTCTCCGCCCCCACCCCCACCCTGAGTGCCCCTGCTGGTCCCTCCAGCCCTGGTCAGGCCAGCTCATTGGCCCTTGAGCATCTCTAGCCTCCAGATCCCAAGCCTCCGGTGGGTCTCCAGGCTAGCGGCAGAGCTCTGGATGTAACAGATGGCTCCCCAAAGACTCTCCATCCCCTGGAGCAGGCCACATGCAGTCCCAGAAGCAGGTAGGAGGAGAGTTTATGAGACAACACCATGAGTCACCACATCTAATGGCTTCCCAGAGGAGCTGTGTTTGAACACTGAACTCCTACTTCGCAAAGGTGGCTGGGGACGCGCACGCTAAAGCCTGAAACTGATTTGGAGACACACAGGGCAGGACCGCCTCTGCTGTGTATTCCGGAGCCGCCTTGAGAACGTCACAGAACCCCTCTGATCTCAGTTCTCCCATTTAAAAAAAATTTTTTTTAATTTATTTCAGAGAGAGAGAGAGAGAGAGACAGCATGAGCAGGGGAGGGTCGGAGAGAGAGGAAGACACAGAATCTGAAACAGCCTCCAGGCTCTGAACTAGCTGTCAGCACAGAGCCCGACATGGGGCTCAAACCCACGAACCGTGAGATCATGACCTAAGCCGAAGTTGGACACTCAATTGACTGAGCCACCCAGGCACCCCTCAGTTCTCCCATTTCAAATGGGGCTAATACCTAACATGTTTACCTCGCGGGGTAACTGGAAGGGTTAGATAAATAGATACCTATGCAAGTGCATCATCAGACGCTGAGCCAGTGAAGCAGCTGACACCATGATGGGATAGAGTGAAGGAGGCAGGGTAGCCTTGGCTTTGGATGGTCTTCTGGTCAATTGAATGTGTGCCTTTGCTCTTACCCTGGTTCAGAGACCTCTTTCATTGTCCATTCCTCTATTGCCTTCTTGCCTTTCCTAGCTAACGTTCCGTACAAGAGATGAGGAGAGGAGATGAGGAGAGACAACGAAGTTTCTGAGGGTATAATAGTCAGGGTCTAAAACGCTCAGAAAGTGTTTATCTGGAGGTTAACAGAGGGTGTTTATGGGGTGGGGGAAGGGAGGTAAGAGAACCAGCAAGGGATAGATGAGCACCCAAGACTGGCAATCCCAGGAAGCTGTCAAGGAGAGAAAATAGTGTAGAGAGAGAATAGTGTAGTGGAGAGAAAATAGCTAGAGTCATGGAAGAGGGTCACCTAATAGGAGCTGTATCTATAAAGACGGCCCCACAGGCAGAACTGGGCCAGGCATGGAGGGAGTCGGGAGATGAATACCCTGACTTCTGCCTTCTCCAGTCCTTTACTCTCCTTCAGTGCTTTCCATTGTCGGAACCTGGTCAGAAACCAGAGAGCAAGGGAATCAGGCTGATGTAGTCCTTAGAGGTCAGCCTCTGGGGCAGACAGCAGGGCTAAAAAGGACGGAGCCCAGATGGGGCCGAGGCAGGGGGCTTGTATGTGAATGGAGAATAGCCAATATTGGGAAATGAGCTGTGGACAAGATGAGTCGGGGGTATGAGATGAGCGTTTGGGTGCTGGGGGTTGAAAGTGCATCTGGTTGCAACTGGTGCTGAGCACATGATCGGGGCGCTAGGGCACGCTCAGGAAGGTCTGAGATAGGAAGGTCTCACCCAGTGGCAAGGAGTCAGTCATCTCTTCCTTGCCAAAGATCCTGACCCATATGCTCCTTTGCTTCTAGGGGAGCCCTCCCAGGCTCCCAACGGCAGCTGGCCCCCAAGCCAGAATGGGAGTAATGCCAAGGCCACCCTGGCTGCAAACTTCACCTTCTCCTCCTACTACCAGCACTCCTCGCCAGTGGCGGCCATGTTCATTGTGGCCTATGTGCTCATCTTCATCCTGTGCATGGTGGGCAATGCCCTGGTCTGCTTCACCGTGCTTACGAACCGGCACATGCGCACTGTCACCAACATGTTCATTCTCAACCTGGCGGTCAGCGACCTGCTGGTGGGCATCTTCTGCATGCCCACCACTCTCGTGGACAACCTCATCACTGGTGAGTACAGGCGACGGAGGCGGCGAGAGTCCCCTCCGCCCCCCACCGAAAGCATTGCTGGCTTGGTCTCTTGGCCAGGATGTCATTGTCTCAAACTCGAGACAATCTTGTGGCTGAGGGATTAGGTTAGAGAAAATAGATGCAATGACTAATTATTCTCTTTGTTCCAGGCATTGTATGACCAACTCTTCCTGCATCACCTTTGCTAACCGTTACAGCAATCCAATGAGTCATGTGTGGTTCTTATTCTCCTGATTTTGGGGATGGGGACACTGATGCTCAGAGTGATTAAGGGACATGTGCGTGGTTACCCAGCTGAGTGTCAAGTCCCATGTCCTCACGCCCATGTTTCTAACCACTACACCATTCAGTGTCACTCTCCTGGGTAGCGCCCCTGGGCAGGCCTAGAACCCGTGGGAAGAAGTGGTAGGGAGGTAGGTTTCCTCTGAATAAGGACCTAATAATCCACTCATTTGAGTTGTTCTCCAACGAAAGAGAGTTCTGTCCTACAGGTAGTGAGCTGCCTGTCACTAGGAGTATCTAAGTAGGGACCGGCCGGCCATTCAGCAGTGACTTGGTAGAAGAGATTCAGGCAGAACTAGACCACCCAACCTCTAAATTCCTGCCTGTTCATCTTCCAAATGCCAGAGCGATCACACTGCTGTCTGCTCTCTCCCGTGTGGTTTGCCTTTCTTGTTTCAGAATCAGGCTCCACAGACCCCGAGACTCTAGACGGGAAGGACTATTTTCCAGGGCCATGGAGACGCCTGGAGGGCTGAGCTCGCAGGCTCTGAGCTCAGGGCTCCCGGAGCCCAGCTCCCGAGCCTGAATAACCCCGTCCAGGGCTTACCAGTGACGTACCCAACTTGGGGCAGGGGAGTCAACTATGTTTCTATAGGTTTCAAGACCCGAGAAGTAGAACCACGCAGAGAGCTTTTCCTCGGCTGCCCTAGCTGCCCGGTGGGCCCTTCACTCACTGCTGGAGCTCATGTTCTTTCAGGGCTGCCAAAAACACACAAACTGCTCATCCTTCTGCCCAGCACACCCAGACCTGCACGCGTGCATGCACACGCACGCACAAGCACCAAGCAAGAGTGATAGGACGAAGTCACTAGCTGGGTAAGGCGGTGTCTGCCCGTCCTTTTCATGTGGCTCCATTTTATTTTTTTTTTAACTTTTTCAGAAAATGTTCACTTTATTTACTTTTTGACAGACAGAGAGGGCATGAGCAGGGAAGGGGGAGAGAGAGAGGGAGACACAGAATCTGAAGCAGCTCCAGGCTCTGAGCTGTGTGTTAGCACAGAGCCCAATGCGGGGTTCGAACTCACGAACTGCCAAGATCTTGACCTGAGCTGAAGCCGGACGCTCAACCGACTGAGCCACCCAGGGGCATGCCTCAATTTTAGAAATTGTTGGAATAACATATTCAGTGTAGAGCCTGCTTAGGATTCTCTCTCAATCTCTCTCTCTCTCTCAAAAAAAAAAAAAAAAAAAAAAAAGATCACCCTTCTAGTGGTGAGAACTGACCGCGGTAGTTGGACTGCTCAGTTCCTCCTTTCTGGAAGTGTGTAAGCAGATGGCAGGATGGCCACCAACAGACCATGAAGGAAGATCTGAGCCACCATGAGGACTGGTCTAAACGGCCCAAGGCGTCTGGCTCTTTGCGGATGAGGCCCTCACTCTGTCATGGACTCTGTCATTGCAGGGTGGCCCTTTGACAACGCCACGTGCAAGATGAGCGGCTTGGTGCAGGGCATGTCCGTGTCGGCTTCCGTGTTCACGCTGGTGGCCATCGCAGTGGAAAGGTGAGAGCGCTCCCGGCTGGGTTATTCCTGGCTGACAGAGGCCCGGCCCTCGGAAGAGCCACTGTCTCCATCGTTGTGCTGACCAGAAGGCTGGGGCTAGATCGTGAGCCATAAAGGGAAGGGTCGTGGGGCTGTCTGCCCTCTACACTTGGGGGCCCTGCAGAGAATAAACACCACCTCCTTCTGGAAGGCCTGGAGGCAGCTCCTGCGGAGGTTGAATAGGGATTCCTGGGTCTTATGGGAGCTTGAGGGCAGGCCTTGTTTCCTAAGTGGTGGTTCCTGCAATTCAAGAGCTGAACCGGGAAAGCCAGTTTCCGCGGCGGGGGGGGGGGGGGGGGGGGGGGGGGGGGGGGAAGGGTGCTCCCTGTTTCTGCTCCTTCACTCCCCCTCCACGCCCCCTTTGCTGTCCCCTGGCCTTCCAGCTACCTCTGGTCTCTTTCCGCCTCAGATTCCATCAGATTCTCTGATGAGCCTACAGAAAGGAGCCCGGGGCCAAGAAAGGCTTGTAAGCAATAAAAACTTACCCAAATGCACACAGTAGGTCCTTCTTCCCTCCTCCACCTCAGTGAGCACTTGCACTCAGGGTTCATCTGGGCACTTTTGTCCAGAGCATGGGAGGCAGGCAAGGACACTGGCCAAGATGACATGGGGACAGCCTGTCATGTAGACTCCACACCTGAACTCCCCAAGGTTTTCTGGAGAATCCATAAACAGCTAAAAATGTTCTCTGCTACACCTACCTGATCAGCCTACGCAGGGACAGAATGTGCAGACCTATCACTTGGCTAGCTGCCAGCTAATCAGCTTACCCGCCCCCCCCCCCTCAAATGCACAAACAGGATTGTTTGCCGCATCCTCTCTCCTGGTTTTGCCTTTGTTTCTTGACTACTCAGTGGGGAGCTGATTCCCGCTCAGGTGAGAAACTAGTTTGCTTGCAAATGAACCTAGATCTGCCTGACTGCTCTTGGAAGCTGCCCACGGTGCGGTGCGAGGACGCACTTGGAGTGCCCCCCACCCAGCCTCAACCAGGGCAGCTCTCGCCCCTGCCACGGGGACCCCTGGGCCCCGTCCCGAGCCCGCCTCTCCTTCCTCCCTCCCCGCAGGTTCCGCTGCATCGTGCACCCGTTCCGCGAGAAGCTGACCCTGCGCAAGGCGCTGGTCACCATTGCGGTCATTTGGGCCCTGGCTCTGCTCATCATGTGCCCCTCGGCCATCACGCTGACCGTCACGCGCGAGGAGCACCACTTCATGGTGGACGCCCGCAACCGCTCCTACCCGCTCTACTCGTGCTGGGAGGCCTGGCCCGAGAAGGGCATGCGCCGGGTCTACACCACCGTGCTCTTCTCGCACATCTACGTGGCGCCGCTGGCGCTCATCGTGCTCATGTACGCGCGCATCGCCCGCAAGCTCTGCAAGGCCCCCGGGCCCGCGCGGGCCGGCGGGGAGCAGGCGCCCGAGGGCCGGCCCGGGGCGCGGCGCCGGGCCCGGGTGGTGCACATGCTGGTCATGGTGGCGCTGGTCTTCACGCTGTCCTGGCTGCCGCTCTGGGCGCTGCTGCTGCTCATCGACTACGGCCAGCTGAGCGAGCCGCAGCTGCACCTGGTCACCGCCTACGCCTTCCCCTTCGCCCACTGGCTGGCCTTCTTCAACAGCAGCGCCAACCCCATCATCTACGGCTACTTCAACGAGAACTTTCGCCGCGGCTTCCAGGCCGCCTTCCGCGCCGGGCTCTGCCCGCCCCAGTGGGCGAGCCCCCGGGAGGCCTACTCGGAGCGGCCCGGCCGGCTCCTGCGCGCGCCGGTCTCCGCGGAGGTGCAGCCCAGCGACTCGGGCCTGCCCTCCGAGTCGGGCCGGAGCAGCGGGACGCCCCGGCCCGGCCGCCTCCCCCTGCGCGGTGGCCGGGTGGCCCACCACGGCTCGGCCGGGGAGCGTCCTGGCTGCTCCCACCTGCCCCTCACCATACCAGCGTGGGATATCTGAGTGGGATGGGGAGTGTGGGCCCTTGAACCTGGGGCCCCCAACGGGACAAGGGAGGCCCGGACACAATAGCGGCCAGGTGTGGTGTCAGAAGACGGGGCGTGCGCCTCCCTTTAAAATACAGCTACGAGCTGTACCTTCTCTACTGCCTTCCCCCTTGCGGGGAAGGAGCTAAATTTCCACTACACCCTTCCCTGTGGGGGACTCCACACACACCCTCTCACTGAATCCCGACACGACTTTAGGAATCAGTTTTCTGGTACCCCTTTCTCCAGATGTGAAACTGAGGACCAGAGAGGAGGTGAGGAGGTGAGCCTTGGCGGGGCTCTCAGCTGGAAATCTCCCAGGAGCCCCACTCCAGTGCCCTTATGGCCATCTGCGGCCGTCTCCAGAAGGGCCCGTGAAGGTGGGGCACAGTGAAATGGGTACATCCTAATTCTGCAGCTGGGAAGATCGGAAAAGCATAATTGTCCCATCCATTTGATGCTTTGTGTCCATGTCCCGGGGTCTCTTATGTATTACGGAGTCCACTCCACCTCACCCTTTCTGGGAGAACCCGCTGTGCCCTTCCAGCCAACTCTGTGTAGCTGTGCCTTGTTTGTTCCAAGAGGTATTCTGGGCTGTTCTCTTCTCCCCGGAGAGCTACAAGGGGACGTCGCATCTGAGCAGCTGCAGAAGGAGTGTCAGTTGCAGACCCTCTGGGTCTTGCTCTTCGGGTCTGAACCCAGAGAAAAGAGGAGGCCTCTCCACCATCACAGGCCCAGGCAAGACCTTACCAGGCGACAGGCAGCTGCATGGCCACAGGGAGGCCTCAGTTTATTTATTCGTGGACAGGAGGAAAGGAAAGCACAGTTGCTACTCACAGCCTTTGGAAGGACATCAGCCCAGTGGAGGTGCAAGCACAAAATCTTCTCAGGGCCCTGCTTCTCTGTTCCCTCGGGGCTCTGAAGGGACGTAGGCCAATCAAAGCTGGGTGGCCTTTGGGGCCTCCTGGACGACACACATTAAACCCCTCCCTGGCACAGAAACTTGTCCTCTGAAAAGGGGCGGGGACCAGGGGGCCCTTGTCTTTTTGGCTCTCACCCAGCACACTTGCATCACCTTGAAGAAATGAGGCTTCTCTCCAGGAGATGGGAGGAAAGGGGCTCTCCTCAGTGATCTCTGCATGGCCCCGATAATCTGAAGTGAACTGGACGTTTTCCCCCTCATCTTGATAGAAAACACAACGTTGCTGGAATTTTAGTACATTTCCAGGGCTCAGGCCAGAGAAGGCAGCCCTGCGGCTTGATGGCCTCTGTAGTAGACAATGATTTAACCCTGTTTACTCCACTCTAAGTCCTGGACATCGGAGCAGAGGAAAGTTCCAAAGTGGTTGCTCAGAACGTTCTCCAGGCTGGTCTGCAGACACTCTCATTTGACCCATGTGAGAGGTTGTTGCCATTTCACAAAGTAACTGAGGCCGCAAGGGGCCAAGGTCACAGGCCACAGAGCGGCAGGATGTGGATCAAAATTTGTCTTCTGATGGTTTCTGCCCACGCTGCATCCTGCCTCTCAGGGAAGGTGGATGGGGCATAATGGGAAGGAGAACCGAAGTTTCTGCGAAGGTTTCCTTCCTGATGGTAAACCAGAACACTGGTGGAGCTAGAATCCCTCCAAGCTGTCAGTCTGGGAAATGGGAGCCTATTGTGTCTACTCTTGTAACATCTGGACTGAGCTGTTCCGTGCACTATATCCGTACCCCGTGTGCTGAGCGGGCCGCCAGGAGCCACCATGACCCCACCCAGGTCCAGGCGTCTGGGGGTGATGGATGCAGGTCTTAGGAGAGGGTATGCCATGCCGTCCCTCCTTAGCTAGTGCATGTGTGGGCCCCATGTCTGGTGCTTGGTGTTTAGTCTCGCATAGGCCAGCGAGTTCCCAGCTGCTTACTGTGAAGAACTCTGTCTCCAGGCTCTAAAAGTTGGCCAGAGAAAGGGCCATCTCAAACCCAGATGCTTGTCCCTGTGGCTGGGTGGGACCTGTCCAGAGACGCTGTCTGGTCTTTCCACCAGGGCGTGTTTCTCCTTTAGCATGGCCTCCCCCACCACAAAGTCACAGCCTTTACAGCTGGGGGAGATCAGAAGGCTCAGCCCAGCCAACCTTTCCACCAAGGCCCCTTTGTATTATTTCCCCCAAAGATGCCATGCTTCAAAGACGGGGCCTGCCAGAAACGGCAGTAGGCATAATTCATATATTTTGCTGTTGATTTTCTTTTTAAAAATCAATCAAAGGCGAGGCCAGCCCATTCAGAGATTGGATCTGCATGGTAACAAGCCGGCCTTTATGCTTTCATGAGGGGGTGAGGCCTTGCGGGTATGTGTGGAATGTTTGTTTTTTGTGTATGTGGTAAAATATACACAACATAAAACTTATCATTGTTCACACATCTACGGGTACAGTTCTACAGGCCATAAGTGCATTCACACTGGTGTGCAACTGTCACCACTAGAGATTTCCAGATTTTTTTTTTAAACATCCCAAACTGCACCTCGGTACCTATTGAACGACAACTCCCCATTTCCTCCCAGCCTCTGGTAACCACCATTCTACCATCCGTGTCAATGAACCTGACCACTCCAGGTACCTCGTGCAAGTGGACAAATACTCAAAGTATTTGTCCTTTTGTGTCTGACTTACTTCACTTAGCATAATGTCTTCAGGGTTTATCTATGTTGTAGTGTTTGTCAGAATTCCTTTCCCTTCCCTTCCCTCCTCCCATTTCCCTTTTATGAGAGAGAGAGAGAGAGAGAGAGAGAGAGAGAGATTGAATCCCAAGCAGGCTCCATGCTGAGCATGGGCTCAATCCCACGACCACGGGATCATGACTTAAGCCAAAATCAAGCGTCAGATGTTCAACTAGCCGAGGCACCCACGCGCCCCTGGAATCTCCTTTTGTTTAAGGCTGAATAATATTATATTGTATGTATACACCACATTTTGCTTATCCATTCATCCACTGGGTGGACATGTGGGCTGCCTCCTTATTTTGATTACTGTGAATAATGTGTGGAGTTTTATGATACTGGAAGTCGTTCCTGAAAATAATGCCTGCGTGACCCTGAGGACAGACAGCTCCGGTGGGGAACTCAGGACCTCTCCCAACTCAGCACTGATGGATGACAGAAGCAGAGGCTCAAGGGAAGCTGTGACCCATCTCACTTCCCTGTGCCCACCCTGCTGTTCCGAGCTTCTGCTGGGCTTTTACTTCTCCGCCAGAGTGGCTACAGAGTTGTATGTTCCCTCCATGGGATGATATCTTATGAAGCTATTTTTATAATCATAGCTTTCTTCTCCTCCCTGGAGTCCTGTGTCCCAGTACCTGGGCTGTGTCAGGAGCCCTGTCCGGCCACCCTGAGGCACACGAGAGTAAGCAACGCAGACTTCTTCTGACATGCCGTCCTTCGCCTATGGGCTGGTCTCCTAAGGTAACTGCCCTTTCACAGGCGGAAAGTCTGAAGGTGAACTGGATGTGTCGTGGGCAAAAAGGGCCAGAGGCCTGTTGACACAGAGCACCCTCAGCCCGGAGGACACCGGGAGGGACTCTGTGTCCCATCCTGCCGTGTGCAGCATGAGCGGTCATTCTAATCGTGGGTCTCCGCTGATGAATGGCCTCTTGACTTCCCCAAGACCATGCAGCACTCAACGGGCCAATGTGAGCTGGAGGCGGGCACCTGGCCTGGACCCCACAAACCACAGTCTGCCCGGCCCTACGCTGAGGACTTTTCTTGGGGCCTGGGAGACACACGAGTTGATTTGGGTTGGATGGAGGGCGGAGCTGGCAGAGGAGGACGCGAGCCCCCTATCATTAGTCTACTGTGTATTCATCCAGAAATCCAGATGAGAGCCAAACCTCTCTCTGGATGGACAAAGCATTGCTATTAAGCTCTGTACCTTTTTGCATCCGTTTCCTCGGCTCACCCCTGAGAAGTGCCACCGAGGAAAGATAGATGAGAAGGAGGTAACCCAAATGGGCTTCATTACAAGCAAACAATGTTGAATCGACAATAGATTCCTTGTTGAATAACCCAATTATTTATGCTTACGGCAGTTTATTGTTGGTGCTTTCTCTCTCGACACAAACACTCCATAATCGTTGTGGAAATTTTACAAAATGGAGATAAGCAAAGAGAAGAAAAGAAAAACACCCAATGCCCATCACAAAAGATAAGCATAAAGTCATCTTCAACTTCTATATCTTGACTTATCTAGTCAACATATATAGCCACATGTTTTAAAATTTTGTACCATCTTTATTAAGGCGTAACTCACATACGACGAAGCTCACCTATCGTCATTGTGCACTTTGATGAGTTTTTGCTTTGTGCACAGTTATGTAACCAGCACCACACCCAAGATATTTCCAGCACCGCCCCCCCCCCCCCCCCCCCCCCCCCCCCCCCCCGCCCCGCCAAGTTGCCTTGTGCCATACTGTAGTCAACCCTCTCCCTCACTCCTGGCCCCAGATAAACACTGATGTCAAAATGTTATACTGATGTCAAAATGCTATACACCCAGAACCATACGGTGTGTGGCTCTTTGGGTCTGGTTTCTTTCACTTAGCATGATGTTCTTGAGCTTCACGTTGCAGCAGGTATCAGTCCTTTGTTCCTTTTTATTGCCAAGTATTATTTCATTGTTTGGCTCTATCACATTTTATTTCTCTGTTCATCAGTTAATAGACATTTGGGTTGTTAGTCAAGCATGGATTTATGTATTATGAATAATGCTGCTATAAACGAAGTCATAGACAAGTCCTTACAGTATACAGGTTTTCAACTGGGTAAATACCGTGGGGAAATACCTAGGCATGGGTTTGCTGGGTTGTAGCTAAGTGTAGAGTTTAACTATATAAGAAACCACCAAAGTATTTTCCAAAGTTGCTGCACCGTGTTGCACCCCCATCAGCAGCCTACAAGTGTTCCAGTGGTTCTTGCCAATACTTAGTACAAGTCTTTAAAAATGTTCCT